CTGAATACAACACACATTTAAAATATACAATTTGATGCATTTCAACATACTTATGTGCCTATGAAACCATCACCACAGTCAAGATAATGAACATATTAATTGCCACCATGTTTCCGTGTGCCTCTTTGAAACTATTCCCTCCCTAGGCCACCCCGTTCCATCCCCAGGCAACCACTGAACTGCCTTCTGTCCAATAGATTGGTTTACATTTCCTATAATTTTATATAAATGAATCATACAGTACATTCTTTTTCTGGCTTCTTTTATTCAGCATAATTATTCTGAGAGTCATCTATGTTGTTGTTTATAAACGGTCTCATCTGGTACCAGCTTCTCCCTACAGCCAGTCTCTCTCAGTCCCTGCCGAGTGTTCTTGCCCCTTTGGTGGTAGCAGGGTAATCTAGTGAAAGGACTCAGGAAACTGGTTCAATTCATCCATTCATTCCACAAGTATTTATTGAGCAACCCCTATATGCCAAGCATTCTGCTATTAACGAGGGATGCCACAAATGGGACCAATATCCAGCTCAATTATTTGAGTTGCAATAAATATTTGCTGAATGAATGAAGGAAATTTGAGGAACACCGCCCCCCCCCACCACCACCACCAATGCTGGGCACTGCAGCGGCAGGTGAAGTGAAACCACGGGTACGGACCTGGAATGAGAAGACCTGAATTCCAGTTGCCATTCTGCAAGGTCTCATGGAGGCAAGTTCCTTGACCTCTCTTACTGGTAAAATAAGAATGGTAATCTTTGTTCTACCTCACTGGGTTGTTTCGAAGACCAAACGAGGTAATATGGCTGTAACTACATTCTATAAACTGTAAAATGCAAAGCACCACATGAACAGGAAAGCTTATTACTGGGGGTTTAGCCAACCATGAAGGAATGCGTAAGCATAATAGTTATCATTTATCGAAAGCCAATGGTTTCCGATTTTGTGCTAGATGCTTTTCAGCATTATCTGATTTTATCCTTACAACAACCCTGCACAAGAGTAAGCATCCCTGTCTTAAGGACGAAGAATGGGGCGCCTGGATGGCACAGTCAGTGAAGCATCTGACTCTTGGTTTCGGCTCAGGTCATGATCTTGGGGTTGTGAGATCGAGCCACACATTCGGCTCTGGGCTCAGCACAGAGTCTGCGTAAGACTCTCTCTCCCTCTCCCTCTGTCCCTCCCCACCACACTCTTTCTCTTTCTAAAATAAATGAGGAGGAAGAAGAGGAAGAAGAAGAAGGAGAAGAAGAAGAGGAGTAACTTGTCCAAAATGATAAAGCTAGTAAATGGAAAAGGAGGAATTTGAACTGGTATCTGTTTGGCTTGAAAGACACAGCTGCTCCTGGAGGATAGTTACTACTCCCCCCACTATTCTGATTTATCCTCTTACAGCTGAGCAGAACATTTATTCAGCAGTAGAACACAGCTTTCATTTGAAAAGCCAAATATCCATTAAAGAGGCAAGAGTTCAAACTTCCAAAGCTGATAAATCCAGGGGTAATTTTTTTTAAAACCATCTGAAAAGACATTTTAATCACTGAATGTCCTAACGCACTTCAGAGAACCAGACGCCTGGGGTTGGAAAGGACATTCCTTCACTGGTTGCCCAAACCATGCCTGACAGTTCTTGGGATGGGGCATTCACCACTCCCCAAAGGTACCCATGTCATCCTTGGGTGGTTCTATTACTAATTAATCATTCATTCACTAATTAATTCCATTTAATGTATTCCCTACTATATGACAGAACTCTTGGGTGAAGAGTTGGAGAGACAAATCTAAATGTAATGCAGCTCAAGGAACTGCATCTACTAAGCAAGCCTCTGTCTTCCTATAGATTACAATGATCCTACCTCAGATACTGGTTTACAAAAATTCAGTTCCTGACACAATTTTTCATAAATTCCTTCCTTCAACTTTTTATTTCAATTTAATAACCCATGGATTTTATTTCATGCTTTCCAAAGCACAAGGACTCACTGACATCCACTTATTAAAAACTAATTCCACAGTTAACCTTTCTGAAGAAAATAGCTTTTTTTGTGAGTCTATCGCAGACAAGCCCCTGTCCTGGGTACTGTGTGGGGGTTCAGAGAAACTAGGGCTTTCACCATGTAGAAGGACTGGATCTTTCTATGTGCACAGCTCTATGTGTTAAGCACTGAGTGAGTAATCCTGGCAGTAGCTGCTGGACAAATAGAGAAGGTAGAGTTTGGGGAGGTCAGGAAACATGGAACTTGGAGCTGTGTTGGATTTGGTTAAGTGGCAGAAGTGAAAGACATTCCAAGCAAGGGGAAGGTTGTGAGCAAGAACTGGAGAAGCAGGAGGCAACCTGGCTCAGCAGGATGGTTGGTGAAGGGAAAGATGAAAGGTAGGCGAGAGCCACGTGACTCATCCTCCAGGCAATTGGAAGCTCCCAAAAGTTTAAGTGGGGAAATGATAGGATAGTTTTAGAGTTGAGTGGAGCAAGACTAAGCTCGTAGGATGGATTCTGAAATGAGTGCAATATGCTGAAGATCATCCATTGGCTTCTGAACAAGTATTTGCAGTTTATTTTTAAAATGATTTTATTGCCAAGAAACATAAACACCACCACTGTTTTAGCATATAAATACCTCAGAATCTGTTGAGTCCCTCCTGCTGTGTTAGGCAAAATTCTCAAAACCTAGCCTCATCACACTGGTATTGCCCCTGCTTCTGATTTAAGATACACATTGTAGACACACAGTCAGGATCCAACAAATGCTTGTTCAACAAAAATGAGGAGAGCAGGTTTCTAGAGCAAAGTAGGAAGACAGATTAGGAGCCTGCCAATGGACTCCTCCCCTCTTGGCGAGGCCCCTCAAAAGAGCCTTGTTCTAGAAGGCGGATCTGAATTCGAGTCCTAGTTCACCCGCTGGCAGGCTAGTAGTGCCTTCAGGCACATCTCTTTACTTCTCTGGGGCTCAGTCTCTTCATTTGGAAAATGAGACCAAATTCCACATTCTGGAGTCAGACGGATCTGGGTTCTGCCACCCCTTGTTCCGTGACCTCTCAGAGCCTCCCTGTTCCCACCTCTGTGGAGATAGGAATAGTAATAGCTCACCAGGTTGTGATTAAGGGTTTAAAGGAGATAATGTGTGAAATGATAGCACCCTGATCCTCAAAAAACACCCCATAAATGTTAGCCACTCTGATTCCCACTTCTACAATTCTGTGGTCCACGTTACCAGACATGCAGAGATGGCAGGGTGTGACATGACACCACCCAAGAACTGAGGCTATGCTCAGCTTGCAGAAGAGAAGACCCAAAGGAGACCTAAGGACAATCTTCAAACACTTGAAAGATTGTCATGTAGAAAAGGACAAATATTTGTTCCTATGCTTCTCCAAAGAATTTACCTAGTCCAGTGGGCGATGCTATATAAACTGCTAACAATTCGAACTTGTCTGCAAAATTACTACGAAGTAACTCATAGTGTGGTGAATTCACCCATTGGGTGAAGTGCATCCCCTGTCACTGGGGGCAAACAAAAAGCCAGATCACTATTTATCAATGATGCATGTAAAGAGCTGTAAGAAATGAGATCTAAGAGTTCTTCAATTCAGATTTTGTGAAAGACCCTCTAAGACGTCTGTGATAAGACATTTTCGTCAACATGTCAGTTTCCAGAGTTCAAGCCAGAATCAGTATGTGTCCAAATTTTAAGACTATAAGGGTTCATCTGTAATAAAAGTTACTTGTTTTGTTTTCACAGTTTCCTCATTTGGCTATTGGATTTTAAGCAAAAGCATCCAAGAAAAACAAGGCCTATCTGAAAATGAGACAACTTCCTTTCACTGTTGCCCCCCTTTTTTTGTGGATGACAGACACTCGTTACAGCAAAGTCTCCTTATATACAATGGAACAAGGTCAGAGATGAATTTGGTATTAAAAAATAAGATTAAAAATTTATTTGAATGGTAATTTCATAATAGTTTAAAATAAATGTTTGGGTTCATTAAAAATAATGCTATCAGTATTTTCTTGGGTGCAGACATGTAATTAAGGTATTGGTTCAATTTTATTGACAATTCCTAGATTCTTTCTCATGCTTAACAAAGTGTGCTATGCTACCCAGTGAACTCTTGTCTACATCAGCAGAGCAGAGAATAAAATAAGGAAAAATGAAGAATTCACTTATATTTAGTCCTATAATGTGCACATTGTGTTTCTATTCCAGCAGTTTCACAAAGTAGTTCTTATAACCTGGGCACATTCTGGATTTAACTATAGGGAAAAACATGGTCAACTGTGGAGATACAGTGTCTCAAGATTAAAAAACTGGTTCTATGACCTTGAGAAAATCAATGTTTCCACAGCCTGGGTTCCCTCATCTGGTAGAAAGAGAAGGTGGACCTTCAACCTCTCAGATGCCCTCGAATTCTCTGAAAACCCACCGTGAGTGATTGGCTGTGGGATGGCAGCAACATGGCCATTTTTTGAGTGTGTCTGGATGCCCAGGAGATATTCCATATGTACACAGTGAAAGACCACATGGCTGGTGTGGACAAGAGCACCACAAATTTAAATCATCTAGGAGATATTCTGTGTTGCAGGCAGGGCTAACTATGGCAAATTTTATGAAAGAAAACATTTCGAGCTGTATTTCTAAAGAACAGGTACCCCATAGTTAGCTAGTTCATTTACAAGAAGATTCCCATTTTGCCAAGGTGGGGGGAAGGGGAGAGCCTGACAAAAGGAACAAACCATGAGAATTCTCAGTAGTTAATGTCTGTCATTTTAATTGACCTTGCTGGTCTATTTTGAGGTTAGTGGTTCAGTACAGAGATACGATGAAACTTGGAATCCAATTTATTGTCAAACCAACAACAAAAAATTTGCCACCCGAGTAAAGCCCAGTGTCAAGTCTCTGTCCTTTTCCCTTCTTTCAGTGGTGGATGTGGAGTGACTGTCAGCATCCCCCCAGGACCATGGGTCATGGCTGAGTGATTGCCACTCCCCACCCCCCCCATTAGGGGCACCAACATGGTCACTCACCCCTTGGGAGACCCTCAACGGCTACTTACGCTGAAATGTTTCCAGAATTTTTGGCAAAACTGTATAAACCAAACACAAAGTATAGTGAGAAAGAATTCTGACCACTGCATAGATTTAAAAACAAGAAATGTTTATACTTCATTTAACATTTGACACAGAATAGGCCACATTTAAACAGACACAATAAATCTTCAGAGCACTTTAATCTGTAGTTTTAGACCTTGGATATGACAAATGCTCATATAAGATGTATCCATAATTCCTTTTGTAATTTATTTTTACAAATTACACCATGATAAAACTTAATAAAAATTACTCATGTGGCCTATTTTCAACATTTTATAAGTTAATCCAATTGCACACCACAATAGATTTTTGTTGTTGTTTACATAGGAAGTTCTCATGATTTTAGTATTACACAAATTGAAGCTGAGACTACACTCGAAAGAGTTTAGAAAATGGCATTACAAAAAACTGGGGAGTGAGTAGTAAAAAACCCATGCAGGACTGCTGTGCGGAAGCAAACCGGATGTTTTCACTGCCATAAGTCTTCAGTGCGGCCAAACTTAAAAACCAGTCCTCTGCAAATAAAATAAGAAACATCACATCTGGTTGAGTTTGGGGGGAAAAAAAGAGTATGTGAGATTGGGAGAATGGTGGGAAACTAGCAACAAAGGATTGATGAGTTGTATGAAAAAAACCATGGAATGCATCAGAACAAAAACTGATCGTGTGCTTCCCATGTCCTTGACTTCTGGGTACTGGAGACCTATGCCACTCTTAAAAAGTTAACCGATGTTTAGTATGTAACCATTACATGTCTAATTTTATCATATTCATTCAACAAACCTTTTTTGAATATAATGTGCTAGGTGCTCAAGCTATAAAAATACAAAAGATATGGTGTCCCTGCCCTCAAGCTGCTCACATTTCACATTCTTGGTGACACAATGTAGTAATGGCGGAGGGAGCGTGGGGGGGCGGGGAAGAGGTGTATTTATTAAATGTTGAGAGAATACGGGAACATAGAGAATTTATTCTGCCTGAATGTGTTAGGAAAGAAGTTACAGAAGTGGTAATATTTGGAATAGGCTTTGAAGGATAAGCAGCAGTTTCAATGGGAGACTGGTAGGAACAGGAGCTAGTGTGACGAAGGAAGATGTTTCAGGGAGAGGAAACAACATATCAAAATGCAAAGAGGAAAAAAAGACCACAGGGCCTCAGGAGAAGCCCGAAAGACTGTTGTGTCAGGAATATACCCACACAGAACTTACCATCCAGGGTTTAGGTGGGCAACTGTCTACAGCTGTCCTCAAGGTTTCGACTTAAAGAGGGGCAAGACGGCAATTGTATGCATAAGGAGATATGGGTCTATGTCTAGATCTAGATCTCTGGATAGACGTAAAGATACGTGAAGTGTAGTAGAGAAGGGAGGAGGGCAATATGGCTGGATTATAGCTTAAGAGATAAGAAAGATAGGGAACGGAGGTGGCCAGGATTTGGTAAACCAACTGACTAATTGGTGGCTAATTGCCCACAGGGGCCGCACATGCCTTAAATGGGTCAAGAGGGCAGGTGCCAGCCTGTATGTTCTACTATAGAGGGCAACTGATACTCACTCCCAGGCAATTTATGAAATGGGGTTTTGCCGAGATGCACCCCCTATTTAAAAGGAACAACTATCTACCTCCGGCTGATTGCTGCTGTGCAAGGCTCAGGATTGTCAGATCTTCCAGTTTTTGAGGAAAAGCCAAAAATTCAGATTTTAATGTAAAAATCTCTTGAGTTTTAAATGTTGGCTCAATAAAACAGAAAATACTGTACAGGATAAATAAAACAGAGCTATGGACAGAATTTGGCTGGATGGCCACTAGTGTTGCATTCTTCTGTAGAAAGCTCCAAGTTTTGAAAAATTTTAAGATGAGAAATGACAGCAGTAGAGCCATGTTTTAGAAGAAAAAGTGACATAGGAAAACTGGATCCAAGGGAGGAACCATCAGGATAGGATTGTGAAGTGCTCAGGAAGGGACGATGGTGACCCAACAACAGAAACAGACAGAAAGAGAACAAGTCTGAGACCCTTCAGAGGCGGTTCAAGAGGCCTTGGATGTGGGGGGCAAGTGGGAGGAAGAAACTGAAGATGGTGGTAGACAGTGGCATGGGCTCGTTTGCATTTGTTTTCTCATGTCTTCCAGGCCCCAGCGTCTACTCAAGGTTAAGCCTGCAATCGTAATGATCAATTTAAAAAGGCTTTCATAAGCCTTTCTAGAGGTAAACACTTGAGTGTTTTTTGAGGAAAATAAAAATGCAACCAGGAAACTGTCTGTATCCTCTCTTGCAAGTATGTTAATTTCTCTTTATAAAGGATTTCATAAAGCTCCAAAAGGGGATTTGGTCTCTGATCTTCTGGTTAATAGCAGGCCTCTACCCTCCAGATAGCTTGGATGAGATACTTCAGAATGAAGACTAGTCAACAGATGTAAACTGTAATCTGAAGAGTTTCTTGGGCAAAACCCAGTCCCTCCTACACTGTCAGATGGTCACCTTTGGTACTGACATCTGTGCCTGATTTCTGAAACAGTAATTTCTCAGCTGCTGCTGAGTATTATTGTTCTGTTACAAATCAGAATGGTAGGCAATCTGCTACAACTATTCTAGTAACAGTGTTTATTAGTTGAATTTAATTTCAATTTGCTTATTGTTATTTTAAAAAAACATGGTTTTTGGGCGCCTGGGTGGCTCAGATGGTTAAGCGTCTGCCTTTGGCTCAGGTCATGATCCCAGAGTCCTGGGATCAAGTCCCGCATCGGGCTCCCTGCTCAGCGGGGAGCCTGCTTCTCCCTCTGCTTCTCTCTCATGAATAAATAAATAAAATCTTAAAAAAAAAACAACAACACGGTTTTTAGTCTTTATAATAGGGACATTAGTACCAAATAAGAAACTAACCAAACTTGTTCCATATAAAAGGAATTTATCATAACTAATTTGAGACAAATCAATGATCGGTTTCCAGGGTTTTGTGACATGAAAACTGCTATGTGAACTCATGTGTTTCTTCCCTCACTGGAAGAAACAACACATTTCCCACAAATCTTCCCCCTCAATCCCCTGTCCCTCCCTCCTGTGACACAGTGACTCCTCCGCTACGGCAGCATCTCAAGATGGACCTTGCTTTACCCCTTCTCTCTGCCACAGTAAAGAATGATAAAGAAGGCTGCTGTTTGCCCCTCCCTGGCTGGTTCTCAGTAAATCCCCTTCCCCCAACTCCATCCTGAAGTTTTCTTCCACACCCTCACACTACCTCCCTTGGCTGAAGTTGTGGGGCCCTGAGTTCCCAAGGGCCTCCCACCCTGTGGAGACACTGAGGTAGTGAGCTCAGGATGCTTGGGGCCCAAGCCTCAGCACTGCAGCTTGAAAGGAAAAGAAATCCTACCTACCACACCGTCCTGCTCATAAACATGCTACACTATCCTACAAAATAATACACGTACCCGAATTTTATTTCATAAAGCTGAGGAATGAGGTTTACTCATGCTATGTTTTTGAAGTACAGTGTTATACTCCCAAAAAAGGAGGGGGGAGGAGGGAAAGAGAACTGATACTAAACAACTGGCTGAGGACAGCAAAAGGAGAAAACATCAACTGAATTCACCCCCAAATCTGGAACGTCATCCTCCTAGTAGCTAGAGCCTGAACTCTGTAGTCAGCCAGCCTCAGTTTTGGCCACGTGATCTCAATCAAGGAGCCTATTTTTTCTGTGCTTACTTTCTCACATATAATATGGGGATAATAATGGGGCCACCTTCAGAGTTGTTACAGGAATTAACTGAGAGCATACAGGTAAAATACTAAGAATGGTGCCTCGCACATAGTAATTGCTCAATAAACTCTGGTCATTATTATGTTCTGCATAAAATCAGTGGCTTAACTTTTTGTTGTTGTTTAAACCCTTTGGGTTTTCTCCACTAGTTTGAGGACCCAAGGAAAGACCCAAAGACGTTGTGCATCTTGCCATCTAAGTTCACTTTTTTCTTATTTCCAAACTGATTTTATAAAACTGCAAGAATTCCTGGTGGAGGAAAAGTTTGGATACCACTGCTGAACATAAATGAAAGGCAACTATCAGCATTTCATGAGTGGCTGAAGTAGATATGGGGCTTCAATTTCATTTTGGGGGGTCAGTAAGAAGGGATAGAAAAGAAGTCCTACAATAGACTGTCCTAGAATACAGAGCAGTTTTTTAACCTTTTTTTGGATTAGGGACTTCTTTGAAAATCATGAAAGCCATAGACTCTCTTCCTAGAAACACCAGTGTCTTGCATACAGAAATGTCTGGTGCTTTCCCCTCTTCAGAACCCTACCCATAGGATGATGGTTAAGAACCCCTGATGCAGGGGCCGCTGGGTGACGCAGTCGGTTAAGAGTCCGACTCTTGGTTTCAGCTCAGGTCATGATCTCAGGATCCTGGGCTCGAGCTCCAGGCTCAGGGTGGAGTCTGCTTGAGATTCTCTCTCCCTCTGCCCACCACCCCCAATCTCTCTTTAAATAAATAAATAAATAAAATCTTAAAAAAAAAAAAAAAGAATCCCTGATGCAGAGGATAAAGAGAAGATTTTGGGTGCGGGGTTGGTGGGGGTGGTGGTGGCAAGGGTGGAAGGCTTAGTATCCAGGAAAGAATGAACATTAGAGAAGATTACTGATGAAAGTATTAAGGTTTTTAGGGGTTTTGGTAATGTTTTAATTTGTCATTGCATCAGAAGGATAAAAAATGTTAGGGCTTCTCCTCCACACCTCAATTCTCATGCATGAGTTCTAATAACACCAAGGATAGAACGAACTATAAAATGCATTCAGAAACAAAATTTTAAGGGGCGCCTGGGTGGCTCAGTTGGTTAAGCAACTGCCTTCGGCTCAGGTCATGATCCTGGAGTCCCTGGATCGAGTCCCACATCGGGCTCCCTGCTCAGCAGGGAGTCTGCTTCTCCCTCTGACCCTCCCCCCTCTCATGTGCTCTCTCTCTCTCATTCTCTCTGTCTCAAATAAATAAATAAATAAATAAATATTTAAAAAAAAAACAACAAAATTTTAAGGAGAAAAAGTTTTAAGCAGGCTTTCACCGAAAGCAACTATTAGAAATACAGATTTAAAATGAACCCGGTCAGTATTTTGTAACAAAATCTACACGAATCACAGTTCTTTGTTAAAGGGGAAGTGGTGGCGCTTTAATAAAGTCAGTGTGTGTTCCTGAGGTTGGTAACAACCAGCTCCTGTATTAAAGTATCTTTCTCAGTCTCATTCTTCATACTTATGACATAACATGGGGGAGGGACACTGGCCAGGGTATATTAATCAGCTAAATACAGTAACATAAAAGAAACAATTATAAAAAAAGAATTCAGGGGCGCCTGGATGGCTCAGTCGGTTAAGCATCTGCTTTCAGCTCAGGCCATGATCCCAGGGTCCTGGAATAGAGCCCCGCACTGGGTTCCCTGCTCAGCGGGGAGCCTGGTTTTCCCTCTCCCTCTGCCCCTCCCCTTATCTGCCCCTCCCCTCCACTCATGTTCTCTCTCTCACTCTCTAATAAAATCTTAAAAAAAAAAATTACAAAAAATAGGATAAAGAATGCAAAAGAAACTTACCCAAAAAAGATGAAGGCATTTTGGAAAAATACAGCAATTCCAGGGTATACGATGGCTTTTTCTGTAAAAATAGTTGTAATATTTAAAGGTTTATGGTCTCAAAACATTTAGTTTCTGATATACTGGTGAATAGCAGGTTTCCTGCCTTACATAATTGAATTTTCTGGTAACCATGGTTGGTTTGAGTATTAAATGACATAATACATGTGACAGAGTCTAGCACTGGTTTAGTAAGTGATAGCTCCCTTCCTTCATTTAACATATATTTAGTGAGTGCATACCATGTTCAGCACTGTAATGTGGAAAGTAAATAAAACAGGCAAAATTTTTTTCATCTTCATGAAGCTAAACAACATAGAGAATAAGTAAATGAGGAGAAAAAATAAAGTGAGAAAAGGTAAGGGAAGTGCAGTGAATGATTACATTTTATCCAAGCGGCCAGGAAGACCTCATGAGAAGGTGACAGTGGCAAAAAGACAGGAAGTACATGAGGGCAGGACCATGCAGAAGCAGCAGAAGAGCAAGCACAGTAAGCCTGGAGGTGGGGGCGGGCTGGCACATGAGAGGAATGGCCATGTGGGCAAAAGAGAGAAAAGCAAGACACAGATCAGAGAAGAATGAGCAGAAAAGTAATGACATATTTTAATAGGATTCCCCTGGCTGCTGAGCTGAGTAGACAAAAGGGGGTAAGAGGAGAAACAGAAACCAGTGAGGAAGTGGTTTCAGGAAATCAGGAGACTAACAGACTGAACCAGGGTGGTAGCAACGGAGATGGTAAAAAGTGGTGGGACTCAGGGGGTGCCTGGCTGGCTCAGTCGGTAGAGCATGTGACCCTTGATCTAGGGGTTTTAAGTTCGAGCCCCACACTGGGTGTAGAGATTACTTAAAAAAAAAAATCTATATTTAAAAAAAATGGTGGCGGGGCACGTGGGTGGCTCAGTTGGTTAAGCGTCCAACTCTTGATTTTGGCTCAGGTCATGATCTCAGGGTAGTGAGACAGAACCCCACACTGGAATTTGCACTGAGTGTAGAGCCTGCTTAAGATTCTCTCCGTCCCTCTGCTCCTCCTCCCTGCCCCCTCCCCCGCTCACGCATGCTTGTGCACAAGCATGCTTGTGCACAAGCGCGCGCGCTCTCTCTCCCTCTCTCTCTCTAAAAGAAAAAAAAAGTGGTAGGATTCAGGATATATTTTAGCAGCAGAATCAGCAGGATTTGCTGATGGACTGGGGTATGAGAGAAAGAGAAGTATCATTTTTGACAGGCCTTCATCACCCAGTTTTTACCTGAACATTTGGAGGGACAGAGAAGCCATTAGCTAGGATGGGCAAGACTGCCAGAGGAACATTCTGTTCCAATTTATCCCAGATTGAAGTTGAAATCCTCATAAATTTCTACTATTGGGGCTGTCAATGATTACTCATTAATTGACAAACCAAGCATGATAAGTAGATGAATTATCAACTTTTTCTCAGAATAGTTTTCAATTAATCTGATTACCGTGACAACTGGTTTGCATAGGCTTCACTACTTTAAGGCCAGATTAAATATTCCACATTAGTTGGAACTACTACCACTAGAATGGCTCCTAAGAATCCTACAGAAAGGCAACTTACAAAATTACAGATCTCCTGCTAATAATTGTCAAAGCATAACCTGGCTCCAGAAGTCTTTAGGAAAATAACTAAAAATTCTGTGAGACTGGGGCGCCTGGATGGCTCAGTCAGTTAAGCGTCTGCCTTCAGCTCAGGTCATGATCCCAGGGTACTGGGATCGAGCCCCACATCGGGCTCTCTGCTCAGCAGGGAGTCTGCTTCTCCCTCTGCCCCTCAACCCACTTGTGCTCTCTCTCACTTTCTCTCTCTCAAATAAATAAATAAAATGTTTAAAAAAAATTCTGTGAGATAAACACATTTCTACAAAAAGGGGCTCTGTATTAATAGTTGCATCTGGGAAAGGAAAATTATTATCAATAATTTTATTTTCTTCTTTGAGCTCTTTTATATTATCTGTATTTTTTTTTCCCTAAAGATTTTATTTATTTATTTTACAGAGAGAGACACAGCGAGAGAGGGAACACAAGCAGGGGGGAGGGGCAGAGGGAGAGGGAAAAGCAGGCTTCCTGCAGAGCAGGGAGCCCGACGCAGGGTTCGATCCCAGAATCCTGGGATCATGGCCTGAGCTGAAGGCAGACGCTTAATGACTAAGCCACCCAGGCGCCCCTATTATCGGTATTCTATAATGAATGAGTACTATGGAATTCACATGATAAAAAAGTAACTTTTTTGTTTTTAAAATATGATGGTGATAAAGATTTTGTAGCAGCAAGGGAACTACTGAGGATATCATGTAAAATGCAAAAACCTAGGTTCAAAATTATATTTACACTATGATTATAACTACACAAAAACATAAAAGAAGAGACCAGAGGAAATATACCAAAACATTTAAAAACAGTACATTATTATAGTTTCTTTCTTCTCTACATTTTTGGGAATATGGCTTTAGTAATAAGTTATATAAACAACAACAACAAAAATACATATTTAAAATGCCTATCATTCCTGTCTATAAGACTTAAATGATCTTAATAAAAAATTCAGGAAACCCATGATTTTAATCCAAGAATTACATTTTGTTTAAAGAAATAAAGGGTTAAAATATGGGCTAGATTAGATCTCTGCTGGTCCAGTTTTTGCAAATCATTAATACCATATTTTTACTGTGAGAAGCACAGTCAATTTTACCTGGAACAATAAGGGATTTTCGTATTTTTCTGGGGTCCCTCAAGGTAAAATTTCAAACAGGGGTCTAAGAGCAGGCCTTGCTTTACACTGGCCTTATACAGCAGATGCACATGAAGTGTTAATTTACTTTCTGTCTAAAAGGAGATGATGTCATAGTACCAGGGAGGCTTAGCTCAATAAATTTTAATTCGAGGATGTTAGAGCTTTGCATGGATATCATTCAGCAAGACAAAACTTGCCAAACAGCTACAGAACATATATATCCTGGTTTTGAGGTTTTTGGAAGCCAAAGAGAAGCAAGGTTTGGAGCTGTGTACCGTTACTTCCAGACTCTAGATTAGAAGAAAAAATACAGAAGAAAGGAATAGTGAAAACAAAATACGGATAGGGTGAAGGGAGTTCCCAGGTATAAATGCTAGTAGCTAGTCGCTGACCCATCTGCATGAAAAACCTTTACTCTAAATAACCAGCTCTAATGCACAACGTCAGTATTTCATTGAAGTAAAATGTAAACTGTTTTCTCTTACCTTTAGCAACATAACCTCCAAAGAGAATCCACATAGATGCAATCAGAGATCCAAAGGCCAGCATGAAACCAATGAACAGCCAAATGCGAGCGCCTTAAAAGAAATAACATTTTACCAGAATTGTTTCTCATATGGCAGCAGTCAGTTAATTAACTTTTCAAAAGGAAAGCAAAAACCAGAACAGAAAAAATGTGTAGTTGCCATTTAAAGTCTAAAATAAGAATGGAAGATGTGTTGAGTATCTTTCATCAGTGCAGACGTTGGCCTTTTTCTTGTTGGCTGGTCTGTATATTCTAAGTGCCTATAATTAATCTCCTTAAATATGTATACTGAGAAAAATTCCTCAACCATCTTATAAAAATCTCACAAAATATGTTTCAACATATTTACAGGCTCATTCTTGATATATTTTTAGAAACTGTACTCCAAAACTTAAACTCCTCCAAGAGAACTTCCAAGCAGTAACATAGGTATGCTCAACAAAAAAATCATATTCAGTGATATGTGAATCTGAACACACTACCATACTTCACTTTCAGGCAAGTCAGGCAGCGAAATAAAATCGAACTTATTGTGACTGGCACTTAGGAAAGCTACATTAAAATTATGTTAGCAGAGGAGGACAAATTTTAAATCACATTTATAAAGTATTTATGAAGATTTGCTATAAAATACAGTCCTTAGACTGCCTAAAATGAATTGAGATGAGTTTCTTTAATTAGCACAAATACATTTTAATACAAACACTGCCTTGTTAAATAAAGCAAAGCAAATAGAATGCTCTATTTAATTTCTGATTTCATCTCCAAAACATAAAACCAAGTAATAGTTTTGAAATAATAAGCTGACAGTCATAGATGTGGTATTAAATACAACTGGCTCTGGATCCCCAAAGCTGTACTAGCTAACAAATTTTAGTCAGAGATGTGATGGCCATATTCTAGTGCTAGCCCTCGCTATTACTGGCTTATTATTATCAACACCAACTGCTAACATTCATATATTTGTTTATAGTGTATGATTATGGCAGATCAGTGTTTCTGTATCTCTTCTACTTCAGTTCATCTATAAAGAGAGTGAACCAAAGAGTCTGAAAGTGTAGATCAGGGCTGACTCCTGTTTCATTTAAAAAAAAAAGGGGGGGGGGGAGAAAAAGGAAAAAAAAGTCACTTGAATTTTGCCTATTTATTTTTTTATGGATGTAATGTAAGTTTACCATTTATATTGTTTAATCAGTGTCCCCTCAAGTCTTTGTGTAAGCTGGACTCTCGAGGAAGCTTTGCCACACACATCCTGTACTCAGCCTACCTCACTCAGGTGCATGGCAATGGAGGCCAGGGGATGGGAGTTGCTCAGTTGAGGAGGAAGGGACTTGGTGAACCTAAGCACCAGAATTCTATTAATTCTATTCAATTTTGCAAGATGAAAAGAATTCTGGAGGTTGGTTACACAGTAATGTGAATGCATTTAACACTACTGAACTGTACACTTAAAAATGGTTAAGTTGGTAAATTTTATGCTGTATATTTCAAAACACACCCAAATTACTATGATTCTAACTATTTCAAAATGCCAATCCAATCAAATAAAGTTGGCAAAAAAGAAAAGAATTTATATGGTAAAGCTTAAAGTACTACAAAGTCTATTTTGCACATGGATTCTTTATTACATACTGTCCTTTACTTTATACTGTATACACTTATATCTACGCATTACTGCACGGGGCTATAAATTCAAGACTGCGTACTTGGGCTCTACGGCCAGGCTAGATTAAATGTGACTTGTACCTTATGCTTTGAAACCTATAACCTCTGCTCTAGATATACTTCCATCCTATCTCTGATCTGAAGGAGTTAGACACATGGCCCTTCCATGTATAATTCTCACTTTTAAGGATGTATAGTAAGATGTTGTTTACATCTGTTTACCTGTTTGACCCAGGCAACCTTCACTGTAACTATCACCTCGGACTTGTCCATTTGATACTGCATTAATCCTGTATGAATAAAATAAAGCCAAGATATCACAGTCTTTGACTCCAAGAGAAAATACCCATGACATCAAATTACCAGATACAATAAACTAGAGTGCCTCAAATTTAAGATTAGGCCTCATGAGTCTTGAGTAATGGGTTCGTGTAAACTTAAGCAAGTCCCTTCAACCAGATACCCTCTAAGCAGTGGTGATAGTCCCCAGACCAGCAGAATCATCACCTGGGAACTGATTAGAAAGAAAATTCCCCAGCCCCACCCTAGACTTACTAAGGCAGAAACTCTAGGTATGGGGCCCAGCAATTTGACTTTTAACAAGTCCTTCAGGTGATCCTGATGCTTGGTAACATTTGAGAGGGAATTTTTCAAAATGATGTCTCACTTGTTAAAATTTGAGAGTGAAATTCTCAAAATTACGTCTTGCTGAGATGGAACAATTTTTAGCTTGGTGCTACCTAGCTTTCCATTTGTACACATGGGACATACTCAACATGTAATATGCATGCATGACAAAACACAGAGAGAAAAAGGTCCCTAGAATATCCAAAAACTACTTAAAATTGGCTTTGGAATGAATTTTTTGTGACAATTCTGTACTAATGTCCAATATTTGGAGAAATGATTATATATTAAGCAAAACAATAACTTTTTGCTCTGAAGACATTATCAAAGTGATTCAAGTGGTAAAATCTTGTTTTTCAATCCCTGATACAGGTTCCAAACATAGCAAGTCTTTTGCTGACTCTCACAGAGTACCATTCTAAATTGAGATAGCCTCGCTTTCTTTATAAGTATCCTTTCAAAAATTTAAATATCATGGGAAAATGTTCACAATACGTTAAGTTAAAAAGTTATAGAACTTTATACATACTATGTACATATATGTACACATATATATGTATATAGTATATATATATATAGTGTATGTATGTGTGTGTGTCTACCACTACAATGGAAGCTTCGTGAGGGCAAGGGTTGTGTCTTTCTTGTTTCCCATTTTTATTTTCAGTGCCTAGCACATTGTAGGTGCCCAATAAACATGTTGACTATATACACCCTGACTTTTTAAATAATAATATGAAGTCTTAATTTATTCATTCAAATCTAAGTTTTAGAACGATCAAAATACTCATAATTATGTTCAGTGATCTCTGTATCAACCACATTATTTGGTACACAAAATAAATACATTTTAAAACAAGCTTCATATTTAAAAAAAATGCAGATGTTCTTAGGTTAGTGATTCTTTGCTCCTATTTTTTTCCTTGCTGAGCCATCTGAATAGACTTTTTAGCCCTCTGTCAAACAGCCATGATCTGCCCTGTCAGTCTCCACTATCAGGCACATTCTGAAATGAACAATCTCTATTTGTTCTCTGGCATTACTAGTTTCATATAGAATCTCAAACTTACAGAAAAGTTATCAAGTATAGTTCAAATAATTTTTTTTTCTGAAACATTTGAAAGTTGCCAAACTGATGCCCCGTAACCCTAGAAATGTGTATGTACTTCCTACAAACAAGACAGTTCCACAGAACTCCAATACAACCATTAAAATTGGGAAGTTAACAATGATCCATTACCACCATCTACTCTTCAGACCTCATTCAAGTTCCTCAGTTGGCCCAATAATGCTCTTAACAAAAGCATCTGCTCATGCAAAAAAGCAGAATCATGAGGTACATTCTGTTCTCATGTCTCTTTAGTCTCAGTCTTCTCTGGCTTTTATGACCTTAACCCTTTGCTCCAGCCATCCTGGTCTCGTCATGTAGCCTCTGTCCTTGCTGTTCCATAGGTCTGGAATGATCCTCTCTTATATATGCCCATGGTCAGCTCCTTCATTTCTCCAAGTCTTTACTACAACAGCGCCTTCATGAGGCCTTCCTTGACTCTATTTAAAATTTCTGTACCTCCTCCTGACATCAACTTTCTCCCGTCTCTGTATTGCTTACTGATATCTAGCATGCTATATACATAATTTATTTCTCCTTGCTTCCTATCTCTCTCACTCATTTAAGTATAAATTCTGTAAGTGCATGGATGTTTCCCTGTTTTATTTACTACTATATTTCCTATACCTAGAGCAGAGCCTGAGAAGAGAAAAGCGTAATGAGTATTTGTTGGATAAATGAATAAACAAACACTTAGACAAAGTACATGGTTTCTGACCTAAAAGTAAAGTTGCAACATGAGCAGTGTAGCAACAAAAGGAGAGCTGAGAGGGGCTGGGGGATGGAAGTGGGAGAGGAGAGCTGGAAGGAAGACTAGAAAAGAGAACTGTTGCTTTTCTTTCTAAGTCCTTCTCTGCAGCTAACTTTTAAACCATTCCAGTACATTGATGACATTGAAAAATATGAACTCTACTAAACTATATGGAAGACATTTTTATTTTGTGATAATCTATGTTAAGTAGTGTCATGAACAATGATGCTTACATCAGGAAGGCTATGGTTGCTATAACACCACAGGCATGGTATGAGTGGTTGAAGTCTTCCATAGTGGGATAAATGACAGCTGCATCTATGATAATCCACCAGCCTGTAAAAAACTAAAACAGACATTAGAAAGTGATGCTAATGAGAAATTACCGTAATTTCATATCTTACTAGCTAAAAAACAAAGTATCTAAATGAAGATATCCATTCTAATGAATTTCAAAAATTTTTAAATGTTCTAGCAGTTTCTTGTATGTAATTTGAACATGGCTTAATATGTGAATAAATATTAGATACCCTTAAGTCTGCCAGTAATCACTACGTAATACGAATTTCTTTTCTAAGCCTACTTCAATCATTATTTTATATTGTTGTAATAGCCTGTCAACTTATTTTGTGAACTAGAAATAAGTTCTATTTTCCCATGGCAAGAGAAAGGAAAAAAGCGATTCAGATTCTGACTGACAGGAGTGGCTTGTTGCTGACATAACCTCCAGAAAGAGGTTATCATTGAAAATGAAAAAAAAAAAAAGTATTCAAAATAATAGTGGGAATAGTTATTGTTGACAGAATTTTAGCTATTCTCTTGATGTTGTGAAATAAGTAATGGTTCTGCAGTTCTGCTTTTCCTTTTGATGTATTACAGTACAGTCTACAGATGGTTTTAGGTGTGATGCTAAATTCAATTTAAATACCAAATATAATTTATCTTAATTGAGTTTGGTTTTGGATGTTATCAAGGGTAAATACATAATGAAAAAACATTAAATTAAAACTGCACAAATATCAACTGACCACAAGCTAAGAGTAAGATATTAGCCAAATTCTGGTAAGTAGCTTAGAAAGTTTTAAAAAGTAACCCCCTGGGGATGCCTGGGTGGCTCTTTGGGTTAAGAGTCTGCCTTTGGCTCAGGTCATGATCCCAGGGTCCCAGGATCGAGTCCCTCATCAGGCTCCCTGGCCAGGGGGGAGTCTGCTTCTCCCTCTGCCTGCCACTCCTCCTGCTTGTGCACGCGCACACTCTCTGACAAATAAATAAAATAAAATCTTTAAAAATAAATAAAAGTAACCTCCTGCCCTACCCCCACTCCCAACCATGACCCAGTTAGCTCTGGGAACTGCCATCTTCTGGCAATTCTTTTTTTTTTTTTTAAATAAAGATTTTTATTTATTTATTTGAGAGAGAACACGAGAGGGGGGAGGGTCAGAGGGGGAAGCAGACTCCCCGCTGAGCAGGGAGCCCAATGCAACTTGATCCCAGGACTCCAGGATCATGACCAGAGCCGAAAGCAGTCGCTTAACCAACTGAGCCACCCAGGCATCCCCTGGCAATTCTTTAAAAATAACTACTGGGGCACATGGGTGGCTCAGTCCTTAGGCGTCTGCCTTCAGCTCAGGTCATCATCTCAGGGTCCTGGGATTGAGCCCAATGTCGTTGTCAGGCTCCTGGCTCAGCGGGGAGCCTGATTCTCCCTTTCCCTCTGCCTCTCCCCCTGCTCACGCACTCTCTATCTCTGTGTCTCAAATGAATAAATAAAAAAATCTTAAAAAAAAGTAACTACTTTAGGCTAATCAAATTACTTTTATCAGGTTATAGACAGTTCCATACTCTATTAATGACATTTTTTCTGGCTAGCACGAGTACTCTTCCTTTTTTTTAAAAAAAAACCTCTCACCTCAGTGTATTCAAGATATTTTCTTCATAAACTAAAATTTAAAGCTTTTTTTTGGGGGGGGATGTTTGTAAGAGCAGAATTTCTATAGTAGTTTTGTTTTTTATTTTTAGGTAATCTCTATGCCCAATGTGGGGCTTGAACTCACAATGCCAAGATCAAGAGTCCCACGCTCTACAGGCAGCCAGCCAAGCGCCCTTCTATGGTAGTTTTATATTTTGCTGTTACTTTAGGATAATTATTTTTCACAGATTATGTCAGAGACTAAGCAAAGAGGTGATATTTAAACTTAGATTTTTTTTTAAGATTTTATTTTTAAGTAACCTCTACACCCATCATGGGGCTTGAACTTACAACGCAGAGATCAAGAGTCACATGGTCCACTGACTGAGCCAGCCAGGCGCCCCAAACTTAGATTTTTGTTTGCTTATTTAAAATCCACTATTTAGAGCATATGACAACATAAGAGCATAAAACACAAGTATCAGATGCCTTGAGGGATTTGCAATGTAAAAAAAAATTTTATACTATAAATTACTTCTAGGCAATATGCTTTAATGAGCTTCCTGTGTGGTTTTTTCTTTTGTTTTGCTTTTTAATGAGATTGAGAAGAAAGCTAACTCTGGATCATGAAAAAATACAATCTTATCTCTCTACTGGTTTTGACCTGTTTCTTAAACACTTCCTGGTATCTCAATGTACTCACAAAAAGGAGGCACTATCTATATAATGAATAAATATACAAAGCATACTATCTTATATACCATTTTTCACATGCATTTAAAGAAAACCAATCACTCTACTAATCATTTTTCAAACCATAATGTCAACTCTTAAAATGGAGTAACTCAACTCCCACATAAACAAAACATCAACGTTTATTAAAATATAGTGGTCAAAGATAAATAGTACATATTTAAGAACATCATACAGAATTCAAAACACATAAAAACAAACACAACAAAATAATGAAGGCCCAAATTATCTATGACACTTACTAGAACACCAGCAGCAATGGAAGCAATAGTATTGCGCTTTTCCCCCCAGTCAATGCATTCTGAGCATCTCAAGCCTTCTAGAAATCCAGACATTTTTTTTCCAGGTCACTTAAAAAACAAACAAACAAAATAAACTCCATTAAAGTACTCCTATTTACTTGCTTCAAACATGAGTTATGTTCCTAGAAAATAATTAACAGTTCAGGAATAATTTAATAAAAGTTAAATACTTTATCTTGGCTACATACGCTTTTTCAGAATATTTGATTAATTTTGATCAATCTCCACATTAAAACCTTGGTAAACAAAATTTGGATTCATTTAGTTTTTTTTTTTTAATTTAAAATAGTTTTGGTATATTTAAGAAACATGAACAAAGGTGGGTATCCACATATGGAAAAATTTCATAATGGTTATTAATTTTAATTCCAAACCAAGTTATTATGTGATTTTAACATTTACAATCCAGGAGCACTAACATGAAGGAGAGAAAAAAGATAAACTTTGGCTCTCAGTTAAAGCATGCACTCAAATGAAAAAATATTTGTCTTGGGAATTTACACATTTTATCACAGAACATGTGTTTCTTCACACTCAGATTAAGAAATTAAACAGTGCACTGCAGGTCTTCTACTCACATCACTTTCTTTCACTTCATTATTTTTTCCAGAACCAATCCTGATTTTTGCTGTTATTTCTATGTAAAGAACACCCATTTCATTTTAATATCTCCGTCTCTGATTCTAAGAGATGTCTTTCCAGCCAAAAGAAAGCATAAAATTGAGGGTAATTATAATTCAGAGCCCCCCCCCAAAATGCACTGCTGAATTACTATAGATGAATTACCACAGCCGACCTAACAAATTACATAGAACACTCCTCGGAACCCAGTTATGCAGACCTGGCCTAAGACACATCCGGACTATCGCTATTTCAGAGTACTGAAAAAGCCTGAATTAGGTATAACTTGGTAATTATCGAGACACACCCAAACTCCTACAGAGACTCTGAATCCGTCTGTTAAGCTACTCTGTACAGAGCAAGTCTGATTGCCCAAAACCATGATATTCTAAAGAAGAGCAAGGAGTCCAAGCGTAACATCCCTTTTAAGCATTAAATATTAACACCTGTGATTATAACCAGTGTTAACATGCTTTGGAGACAAGCCCAGTTTTGAAAATTCACCTTTCATTTTCCCTGGAAGTGCAATCCAGGGTGTGTTACTTTCGGTTCATCTCTATGCCCCCGCCCCAACCCATCCGAGTCCATTCTTCTTGGGTTTATTACCCGCACCCTGCTGCGCAAAGCCCGCCCCCAGACCCGGGATTCCAGGTCTGGAGTGGACGCGAGCTGAGAGGATGTGGGAACTCGTTCTAGCTCGGCCACCCCACCCCCACCCCCCACCGCGTGAACCCGCGGGGTGACACTCGCTCTCGGGGGCTGTTTCTCCAACCCTCAAGGAGGAGATCACAGTGATTTCCACGGATCCCGGGACATCCCGGGGAGGGGCGCTGTCCCGCAGTCCGGCGCAGTGCGCACGCGGCCGTCCGGGAGGAAGCGGCCGGGAAGGGTCCAGGGAGACACAGCCCGAGCCTGCAGCCTCCCAGAAGGTGGAGAGAACGACCCCGTCAGCCCTGGCCCGGCAGACAGCCCCGGGCCCGAACCCTCTGGGCCTGTGGCGGCGACCCCTCTCCCACTCCTGCTCGGCACTTACGTCCAGCCCCGCCCGTGCAGTCGGTCCCGAGCCCGGTGTCGCGCAGCGCGGGGCCGCCTCACTTTCTCCCAGTTTTCAGCCAAGAAAACAAAACAACCACCCGCCACCGGGTACCCGGATGAAACAGCACCGCCCCCGGAGCTCGGTCGCGCATGCGGGGAGCGGGGCTGAGGGAGCAGCTCGGGGTGGGGGGGGCGGGAGGAGAAGAGCGGAGGGAGGGCCAAAGGGAGCCACGCCCACCGCGCCAAAGTCTGTGGGTGCTCCTGGTGCCGGGGGCTGGGGAATTTCCGCGGCGCTCAGTTCGCGTCTGCACCTCAGGAGTGGTAGTCTGACTGCACCTTCCAAAGGAAAGCGTCTGTTGGGCCTTTGTATTCGTCCGGTGTGAGGTGGTAAGTTTTCTAGTGCTGCGGTCGGCTCGTCACTTATCTCAGAGTGACAGGAAAAGTGTGGGGTCCCGCGTGGTGCAAAAAGCGGTTCTGGGGGGACGCCTGGGTGGCTCAGTCGTTAAGCGTCTGCCTTCGGCTCATGTCATGATCCCAGAGTCCTGGGATCGAGTCCCACATCGCGCTCCTTGCTCAGTGAGGAGCCTGCTTCTTCCTCTCCTGCTGCTCCCCCTGCTTGTGCTCTCTCTCTCTCTCTGACAAATAAATAAATAAATAACAATCTTAAAAAAAAAAAAGCTGTTCTGGGTTCCCGCCCCCCCCAAGTTTTTAAGTCTTGTTTATTTTCCCAGCGCCTGGCCCCGCCCTCGATGTAGCTCCGCCTCCATTAGGGGTGGAGTCACTCCCAGGAGGCGGGGAGGTCCCTGGTGAGCGTGCGGGTGCTGTGCCCTTCTAGTCCCCGGCGCGCTGACCCTCTTCTGGGACTTGACGTTTTTTCCCGTTGGGGAAAAAGGCACTGCTGACATTTGGGGCCAGATAATTCTGTTTATGAGGGCTTGTCCTGTTGTGCACTGTAGGGTGTTTATCTGCATCCCCGGCCTCTGCCCACTGGATGCCAGGGTCATTCCGGCTGTCGTGACAGCCACATATGCCTCAAGAGGCTACATATCCCGTTCGCGGGAAAGTAATCCAGGTTGAAGCCAATGTTAAGGAGACGATCTGGGTTTTGGGGAGGTGACCCTTTTCAAAAGCCGGAAGCAGTGAAATCTTGTCTACATGAACGACTTGTGGCCGGTTCCGCCGCTCAGAAGCTGTCGGTCCAGCTCCAGCGGCTCGAGTCGGGCGTCGTCCCGGAGTCGGAGCCGGCCCCGGAACCGAAAGAAAGCAGCGGTTGGAGGAAGAGATCCCGGAAGAGGTCGCAGAGCAGAACCCGTTTTGCTCAAGGGGTTTTGCTAAGGTTGCATGGGTCATTTGTTGTGAAGAGGGACGCAAGGTTCGCCTCTTTTACATGTGAGGCTACAGTATGTGAATAAGCTAGGAACCAAGGTTATGTCGTTTAATTTCTTTAATTTCCTTTGATGCATAACATCTGTAGCTTTGTGATTTGGAGGGCATTAGCTGATTAGTAGGCAGAACTGGACAATACAACCCGTTTAGCCTATTTTTAAATGGACATCGTTCTTACCCCTCAGGATTAAAGAGTAATTATGACTGTTAAATGGCTGGGGGTGGGTAATATACTGCAGGCAGTTCTTCGTAAACCTTTTTACTGGTTATTAACGACTTAAGGTTAGTTTAGCAGCTCTGAGCAGCCTATAACAAATCTTGCCTTAAGCTTTTTTTTTTTTTTAAGGATTTTATTTATTAATTTGACAGAGAGAGAGAGGGAACACAAGCAGGGGGAGCTGGAGAGGGAGAATCAGGACCCTGGGATCATGACCTGAGCCGGAGGCAGGAGCTTAAGGACTCCACCCAGGCGCCCCTTGCCTTCAGCTTTTAGTAAGTTAACTAATAACTGGGGGGAGCGGTATTAACTTTTCCTTTTTCTTTAATTTTTTTTGTCTCTGCCATTTTTTTACATTTACTGGAGTTAATAATAATTGTCAGGTATTTTATAAACATAAGTAAGCACCTTTATGTTGCTTTTATAATAAAGTACATGCTTAATTTGTAATAAAGTACAGGCTCATTCTTAGCCTTTTTGGAATACGTTGTAGAATTAATGAGTGCTTGTTTTTGTCTTTTCTACATACAGTGGAGCTAATAGAAATAGCAAAAGCCAGCCCAGCTGACTCTTTGGGAATAGCCAACCTTGACTTGCCACCCGGTCTCAGTACTGTTCTTGTAGCTAAAGAATGGAATTTTGTAACAGCTATACCAAATAATGCAAAGTTCAGATAAGCCAGATTTATCCAAACAGAACCTTCAAAAAAAAACCCAAAAACTGTAGCCAGAAACATCTGGTTAACCATTTTTATTTGATTTACCTTAGAATACACTTCTCAGAAAGTCTAGCTAAATATAATTTGTTAATGTCAAAATAGCAGATCTGAAAATACTAGACAAGCTCTCACTCATGGAAATGGGAGAGTAATCAATTCTATTTTTGGTGACCAACCACACCAGATTGGGACTAGCCCTGAAAGTCCTATGTTCCAAGAAACCCTTCCTGGATGTAAAAAGTCCTGGTTTTAACAATGAGTGCCATAGATTGGAAGAAGGGAGGAGATACAAAACCCATATTATGCCCCCCCCAAAAGGAAGACAACACCGTTTTTAGTGACAAATGAATCGGGTGATTATCTGCCTTTTGTTGACCACTGACACTGGCAGCCAAGATTTGTGGTTCACAATGATGTATCTATTGTAGCATTGTCTCAGAGCAACTTAAATTCTAATCATGAGTGTGAACAGTCTAATCATGAGTGTTAACTCTTGTGCTTTGGAGGGAGATAGCGCTAGTTTAATTTTTAACTTTGTGAATATTGTGACTGTGCTTTCTAAGAATTGAGATAATGAAAATGAGAGTGAGTACACTGTCGATGCCAGCATGACCCAGACAATCCCAAAAAAAGAAGGCTAAATGGCTGTGTTATTTTAATGACAGTTGGAAGGACACATACAACTGGATTAGGGAGACAAATGATCCAAAGAGAGCACACGGCACAATTTGCAGAAAAGAATTTGGGGTTGGGCATGGTAGAGAAGGGGGTATGAAAACCTGAAGAGACTGAGTACCACAAGTCTGGAATGAGACAAGCAAGTACTTTTGAATCCATGAAAAGTGTCTTCATCTCCCAAAAAGACACCTGTGTTCAATCATAAAATAGCAGCCGCAGGGCACCTTGGTGGTTCAGTCGGTTAAGCATCTGACTCTTGATTTTGGCTCAGGTCATGATCTCAGGACCAAGTCACAAGTTGGGTTCTGCGCTGGATGTGGAGCCTGCTTAAGATGATCTCTTTGCCTATCACCCCCCCACCAACAGGCGCGTGCGCCCTCTCTTAAAAAAAAAAAAAAAAGAACAGCCGCTGAATTAGTGTGGGCATACCACACGATTGAACCTACGTTATCTTTTCGCTCCCTTGATTGCTCTATGAAACTGGGTAAAGTTACATTTCCTGATTCAGAGGTTGCAACTAAAATGTCCTGTGGGCGAACAAAAGGGAAAATTTTGATCACAGTTGTATTGGCCTCGTACAGTGTAGAGCTGATTCTGTCAGATCTTACCAATAATCGTGCCTTCTACAGTATATCAAGTGATGTGTTGTATTATGGCAATAAAAAATGTTCGCCCTAGCTCTTAAGTACTTTGATTTGAAAAATGAAGTTTCAAATCGTCTTCTTGGTGGCTATGAAGATTTTAATGAAAATTTAGAACACATTAAACAAAAGACCAAGCAAACGATACAATAGCTATACAAACCAGATTTGGCTCACCTATCTGCATATTCGGTAGATAGTACAGATGTAAATTTCAGCAAATTCCATTCAGTCTATAAACTTCTTACCAAAGAAAATGGAAGCATCTCATCTGCTAAATGTCCGGCACACCTTGCACACCACAGACTGCTAAAAAGGGATGTGATTTGTTTTCTTGGACATTGAGGCTTTCATAATGAAAGTTTTGGTGACTTCAGTTTCCTCAAAACACGCAGAAACACTTAATGAGACTTTTGACTTTTAGAAATGGAAGGAGATAGACACCTCAGACATATGCCTACAAGATGGTTGTCACTTGCCAGCCATAGAAAAGATGTTAAAATGTTGGCCAACCATAAAATCCTATTTTCAAAGTGTGGGGAAAGACGAGTGTCCTTCTCTAATTTGGAAATACACTGAAGATGAGAATGAAGAAAAGGATTAGACTACAACAGAAATTTATCTGCTGTTTCTCAGACCTGCTTGCTGATCTTTGAAGAAACTCTCAGTAACCTAGAAAAAGATAAACTGCCTGCACCTGAGTTATTTGATGTTATGTATAAGTTGCAACAAAAACTCATACAGTGAAGAAATGACTCGTGTTTTTTTTTTTTTGGAAAGAAGACTGCTTCAGAACTGAATAAAATGTCACCAGAAAAGGGCAACCAAATTAAATTAAACAAAACTTTCTCCATTTCTTTCCTAGAATGATGACTTACTTGGAATCCAGTTTCAATTTCACAATCAAATTATGCCTGTGTTTGAAAACCATTTTCCCTGAGAAAGAGAGGTTTAACTTACAAGTGATATCCAGTGTGCTTCAGAATGTTTAAAAATGATGGACATTTGAGACACAGACAACCTCTCCGATGAATTCATAGATGCAAAGGACCTGATTGACAAACAGCTGGTCTACCAAAAAAAGCCTATAGATAAAGAATGGATGGGCATTTTTGGAGAGCTGGAAACGAAATTCCTACAAGTCTAAGAACCTGTTGTTGCTCATAAGTAAAATCCAAAGTATTCCATGCTCAAATGTTTGTGTTGAGAGGCTGTTTCAGTTGATGTTATTGCATTGGACTGACACCAGCAATCGATGTAATGTGGGCTTGGTAAGAGCACAATTGCAAGTCAAGAGAAATTTATATTTCACTATATTCAGTTTTACTGCTACATAAAAGAAAAGAAGGATGTCCTAAAGGCTGCAGGCAGTTCACAGAAGTATTATTGGAAAAGGAAACAGAAAGAGTAAAAATATCCTGTATTATGAGACAGAAAGAAACATGCCATTGTCATTTTTTTAAATGTTTTTATTTATTTATTTATTCATGAGAGTCAGAGAGAGGCAGAG